GTCCTGATTTCAGTACTCTCAAGATTTAAAACTTGGAGTTTACACAGGTTATAAGCCAGCTGTACCAAGGAAACTAAGTACAGGCATTCCCTTAAATTGTATTGGTCTGCTTGTTTATCTGTGCTAAAAATAGCATCTCCATTAGATATCTCAATCTGAAAATTATCTGGGAGCAAAGCTGCTTTTTTTTTTTTTTTTTCTTCTCTTCTGTACCCTGCCTGGCAGCAGAGGGTTTGGGAGACTCTGTTCTTTCTCTGGACCCTGAAGAGGAGGAGGTAGTATCAGATCAGGAGTCCCCTCAGACACTCAGAGGCGTCTCAGGGCACATGTCTGGATCAGTCACTGTAATCAGGTAGAGGGAGTGTGTATGGCAGACTGGGCTATGGCCTATGACTCCCTGAAGCACCTGGAGATTGAGGCATGCAAGCCAAGATGGCTGAGCAGCCAGTTACAGCAACAAACAGCCTGCCTCTCCTAGGGGGGTAGGGGTGGGGGTAGGGGTATTGAGTTATCCTCCGGTGAGGACATCCTCAGATACAGCTTAAATCAGCCAATGTACATGACTGAACATCTGCAGTGTCCCACACATTGTAGTGGAGCACATTCTTTGGAACTCCTATTGTTATTTTGACATGTGATAACAAAGTTTCTAACTATAAAATAGGATGTTGAGATAGAGTCTTTGTTAATAGAGATATTACCATATTCCATTTTTCATCTTGAGCCACTCACCTGCGGTTTTAACTGCTGATTCCTGGTTCCCAACAGCCCGTGGAATCCTGGCATTTTGCCCTATCAACACAGGAGTACCATCTGTGGTGAAAGAGAGTAACTGTAGGCTATATAGTACTACAGTATGTAGAGAAATAATCAAAGTGGTTTTTTAATTTTTATTTTATTTATTTTTTTGCCATTCTGCTTCCTCAACCTTTTTCTAGGAATACATTATGGAGAATTGGCTGTATAGCCAAAGATTTGTGTTCATGGCACAAAGCTAAAAACTGCCACCATCCTGGTGGTAGGGCAGCATACTATCTCGTAATAGGCAGGGACAGAGAAAGCCAAGGCAAGAAAGCCAGCATCCCCTTTGAAATGCTCATTTAAGTCAAGCTCCTGATTATATTTAAAGAGGAGTCATAATCATTAATTTCAAGGCCTAGGGCTGTCCTGGGTAGATACATGATAGTTACTGTATATTTCATCAATTATCTATCAGCCCATTGCATATTAAGTGGCAAGAGAAAATCTCACCAATTCTAGTCTTTTAATCTATTTCTGGTGTTCCCAAACCAGTCCTGGGATCAGATATGTGTGGAAAATGGCTGAGAATTGACAAGATGTCTCAGCAACTATCTGTGCATTACATAGAAATACCAAGTACTACTGGATAGAAGAAATGATACAAGGACATCCTCAGATGAGGCTTAAATCAGCCAGTGTGCTTGATTGAACTCCCACAGTGGGCTTGGTACTGAGGGGGAGGACAGATCCAAAATAAATAAAAGCCATAGTCCTTGCCCATAGGGAATACACAGTTTAATTGGGGAGACAGCTCCGCAAGGTAGTAAGTGCCATGTGAGTGGTTCAGATCATTCAGGGGTCTTGATGTGACATGCCAGGAAATAGAAATAGGTGTAACACTGGGATCAGCTTTTGAACCAAGACTTTTGCACGACAACTTAGCAAAGAAGCAATCCAAAGGACAGTGTACCCATGTTCTGGGGTGTAAGGGATGTTGGCTGCTTATATCTTTTTCAGCCACTGCTGAATTCACAGTTGGTAATCATTTAATCAGCAACAGTTCCAGTCATGAATGACAGCAATATAAATGTGTGGTATAAATTCAACTCACATGGGACTGCAAACTTGTACAACCTCTATGGAAAGTAATATGTAGATACCTCAAAGAGCTAAAAGTAGAACTACATTTGATCCAGCAATCCTGTTACTGGGCATCTACCCAAAAGAAAAAAAGTCATTCTATAAAAAAGACATCTGCACTTGAATGTTTATAGCAGCACAATTCACAATTGCAAAGATGTGGAAACAACCCACGTGCCCATCAATTCATGGGTGGATTAATAAAATGTGGTATATGTATACCATGGAGTACTACTCAGCCACAAAAAACAGTGGTGATCTAGCACCTCTCGTATTATCCTGGGTAGAGCTGGAGCCCATTCTACTAAGTGAAGTATCACAAGAATGGAAAAACAAGCACCACATGTAGTCACCATCAAATTGGCATTATTGATCAACACTTTTGTGCACATACAGTAGTAACATTCATCGGGTGTCCAGCAGGGGGAGGGGGAGGAGGGGATGTGTATATTCACACCTAATGGGTACGGTGCACACTGTCTGGGGGATGGACATGCTTTGAAGCTCTGACTCAGGTGGGGCAAAGGCAATATACATAACCTAAACATTTGTACACCCTTAATATGCTGAAATAAAAAAAAAATTCAACTCAGAATCTGGGCCACAGCCTAATAATACCAACCTTTTAAAGCAAAGTGTCATCTGGAGCTGAAGAAAAGGCCACCTGAGCAGGAGGCAGGATAAAGACTAGGAAGGCTTAGGGAAGGTTTACATTTCTGGAGGTGATGGTAGCAGAACCAGAAGTCTGACTACCACAAATTGCTGAGGTTGGTGAGATTTGATCTTAGCTGGGCAGGTGTCCCCTCTGGCCTCAGGGATCCTCGGGATTTTGTCTGCCTGGGTGGGTTGAGGCAGGAAGGGTAGGAAGGATGGCTAGTGGGCGACTTGGCTGAAGTTGAGCTCTAAGGTTGAGTCAGGCCCTCTTCCCGGATTGTGAACCCTCTGGGTCAGGGGCAGGGCTCATCTGGGGAACGTAGGGGAGCGCCACGCCTGGCTCATTAGTGGATGTCTGGGGAGGCCTTTGAAGATGAAACACTCCATAAGCACTCATTGTTTCTCTTTTTTTGGACAAACTAGTACTTTGGTCTCCAGGGGCTGTTGATCTGGCTCCTTTGCACTAGCCTGGAATTTGCTGCAAACTAAGAAGAGTGGCAGGGAGTGGGGTTGGGGATGGGGGTGGGAAGCCTGAAGAAGTTTTTGAAAAAACAACTAAACTCCCACCAAACCCCAGTGCTTTAGCTTGTAAATAGGATTCCTCCCCATCCACCTTTCACATTCTTGGGTTTGGGTGCACTCTGTCTTGACCTGTTCCTTCGCCTGCTGGGTTTGGGGTGTGTGTGAGTCTCTGGTTCCCATACTCTGTAGAGAATGCCAGCAGTTGGCATATGGCGATTGCTGAATAAGCTGCCGGCTGACGCATGCCTCCTGCAGGCACAGAGAACTGGCTGGCATGGGTGAACCCCCACTTTATTATTGTTTCAAAGATGCATTTCTGTGGTTGTCCTCTGCCATAGAGAAGGGAGGGAAGAAGAGAGAGAATGAATGAATGACTGTGATTCTGCCTGTTGGGGGCAATGTCTGGAGTGGGCAGATAGGCATTTTGTACCTTCATGGTGGCTCTTACTGCTCCTCTTCATCCTTTCAGCAGGTATTTGTTAAGTGCCTGCTATTTACCAGGCATTGCATCCAATCTGAGTGAGCTGCCAGTGAAGTCAGTAGAGACCCTGAAAATTAGTTCAGTTATTCAACTAGTATGTGCTAGACACTGTTCTTGCTACTAGGGACACAGCAGTGAACAAAACACATAAGGAGCTGACATTATAGGAGGAGGAGTAAAATTATACAGCAAGAAATGAATATATAATGTATCAGATGGTGATAAATGTCATGAAGAGAAGGAAAGTGGCATAAATGGGGTAGGGAGTAAGGTGTGTGTGTGTTATATACAGGTGGTTGTGGAAGGCCTCTTTGATAGCTGACATTGGAACAGACACCTAAAGGAGGTAAGGGAGTAATTGATGAAGCTTATCTGGGAGAGCGGCATTCCAGGCAGAGGGAATAGCAAGTATAAAAGCTCTGAGGCAGGAAAGCATAGGGGAATTGGAGTGGAGTAAGCAGGAGAGTGGTAGGAGATCTGATGAGAGAAGTAAGGGATTGTAGTTCATGCAGGACCTTGTGAGCCATGGTATAGGCTTTGGGTTTTACTGAAAGGGAGCTATGAAGCCAAGAGAGAGTTTTAAACAAAGAAACCACATGACCTGAGTTTGGTTTTAAAATCACTGTGAATGCTATGTGGAGAATAGAGTGAAGGGCTTAGGGAAGAAGCAAGAAACTAACGAGATGACTACCTCATTGCTGGTGACCATGTGGATTAGCTCTCCATGGATGGGCCACAGTGAATTTAGGATTTACCTAGCTGAGAAGTGAAGGATAGTCTCTCCACCCACCACCTCCCAATTCTTGGTGCACTGTTGTATGAATAGGGCACAACTTTAGCCGCTAGTATTGCACAGGGTGTAAAGGATCAGCCTCTTTTAGGAGTGCAGTTTTCTTATTTCTTCTTCATTTATTTTGGTGTGGAAAGAAGATGGAATTGCAGAAATATAGGAAGGGAAGAGGTGGAGACTCTTGATTAGAGCAGAGAGCATAAACCTTGGGAACCTGGCAAGCCTGAACCTTGTCAGGAGTCACAGAGAGCCACTCCTCATTCCACTCCCTCCTCTCCCACCCTTTCCAGAAGTCTTAGGGTAAGGTTGGGGGAGGGAGCGGCATTAATGATCTTGCAATGCCTTGGGGTATAGTATAGAATGTCAGAACTGAAGGGACTAGAAATCATCTAGTTCCAACCTTCTCTGTTTACAGGTGCAGGTATGAAAAGGTGAAGTAACTTGTCCAGAGTCACACAGTTAGATTGCTGGCAGAGCAGGGATCCTGAGTGTTCACTGCTTTGTCTCTGTTCCCAAAGGCTCAGTATGTATCTGAGTGGGCCTTGGTATTCATAGTCCCCTCAGTCTCTTGGTTTTTCATGAATGTACTCCAGCCGTGACTTTGGTAACTTCCATTTACATAAAGTCCTGACAAGCAAGTAGTGGTAATATGTTTGCATTTCCTTTGCCTAGGATCAAGTCCTCCGTACCAGGAACCAGGACAAAACCAGACTGCCATTGCCCCCACTTGGGCCTCACTGTCCTCAGAACACAGCTGCTGCGATCATGGGCAATATCTTTGGAAACCTTCTGAAGAGCCTGATTGGGAAGAAGGAGATGCGCATCCTGATGGTGGGCCTTGATGCCGCAGGAAAGACCACCATCCTGTACAAGCTGAAACTGGGGGAGATTGTCACCACCATCCCTACCATTGGTAAGGGCACAGCTTGGATGTGGGCTTTCATGTCAACAGCTAAGGCAGGGCAGGAGACCTATTCCTGTTCCCTCACCTGGCCTCCTCTTTCCAGGCAAGTCTATGCAATCTGTGGGGTTTAGAGAAGTGTGGCTTTTAGCTTTCTAGCAGGTGCTGGGCCTCCCTGATGCGGGAACTTCCACAGCCTGGCACTCAACAGTTGCCCTCAGGCACTAGAGTCGGTTTGTTCTCTGTGTTGTTTGGAAAGCAGGTGAAGGACTTTGATGTTCCTGCCAGAGGTCTGGAATTGCTTGGGTTTAGATCTTCAGTGGCCAATCCTGGTTAAGACCTGCGTATGGGAGGGAGAACATTTGCCAGGTAGATGGGAGCTCCAGTCATCATCGTCAACTGGCTCTGTCTTTGGGGCTTCGGGAATAAAGCTCACTTCTCTTTTTTCACTCTGCCTCTCAGGCCCCACATCTTAGCTGAGGCAGACTCTGGTGGCCTAAGTACAGGAGTTGGGGCTGAGTCATTTCTTCATAGGAGGGAGAGCCAACGACTGAGTGAATGAATGGGGGAAGGTTGGTTCACATTATAGAGGCAACTGTGAACCTCCTGACCAGCCTTCTCATTCTCTTTGACTTCTCTTAGGTTTTCATTTTGGCCTTCAGGCTACTAGGCCAAGTATTACCAGATCTGAGGAAGCCTTAGCTTTTTTTCCATTGTTGGTGTCATGGCCAAGGCTGGGGGGGAAACAGAACCAAACTCATTGGAGCACTGCTTTTAGGCCTGGTGTTTGAGGCCAAGTGGCCAAATTGCCTCTTTTTTCAAAGGGTTCAACGTGGAGACAGTGGAGTATAAGAACATCAGCTTTACAGTGTGGGATGTGGGTGGCCAGGACAAGATTCGGCCCCTCTGGAGACACTACTTCCAGAACACCCAAGGTATGGCAGATGAACTGCCCAGGACTGGCATGGGTTGGCTGGGTATAAGCAGAGAGTGTGGCTGTCTTCATTGGTTATGGGCAGCCAACCCTTGCCCTGCTGCAGCTCCTGGGGGTGGGAGAAAAGGAGGAAAGGGAGCAAATATGTGGAGGGTGTTGTCTTTGGGTGGTGGGGGAGGGGGTTATCTGTCATGTCTGTGCAGCCCATGCTCTGCCTCCCTAGGGTTGATATTTGTGGTTGACAGCAACGATCGGGAGCGAGTAAATGAGGCCCGGGAAGAGCTGATGAGAATGCTGGCTGAGGATGAGCTCCGGGATGCTGTGCTTCTTGTCTTTGCAAACAAACAGGTGAGACTTCTTCCCACCCCCGAATTGGGGAGAGGGCAGCCTGACTGTAAAATCAAGCAGTCTTGGGGCTCATTGTATGGGAAGCCCTATGACTGTGCTCTCAGTTTTTGGAGTGTAGGAAATATGAATATACTTCATATTCCCCTTTTCTTCTCCCCCACCCCAGCTTTATTAGCAACATTTCAGGCCTGAGGGATTGGTGTGGTAGATACATGGCCTCAAATCTTTCTTTCATCTTCCCTATTGTCTACTTTAGTGGAACTGCCCTCACTCCTGCTGTCAGACAGGCCTGATGCTTTGGTCAATCTGAATCACCTGTCCACTTCCCTACCAACCCCATATTTAGTCTCCATATTCAGTGGAATGACCTCTAGTGCCTTGGATTTGGTGTTCTAGGGTGACTAAATCCTTAGGATCTTGTGGGTTTCCTGAAATAAAAGAGGAGAAGAAGGTACTTATACATTTCTTTGGTAGATAGGTGCTCTAGAAGCCTTTGAAAGATCTTGAGGCTTCTTTTTTGTGTGTCTCCCTCGTGCTCCAGGATCTGCCTAATGCTATGAATGCTGCTGAGATCACAGACAAGCTGGGCCTGCATTCCCTGCGTCACCGCAACTGGTACATTCAAGCCACCTGTGCCACCAGTGGGGACGGGCTGTACGAAGGCCTGGACTGGCTGGCCAATCAGCTCAAAAACAAGAAGTGAGAGCCAGGCAGCCCTATCCGAGTGCCCCACCCACCCCTGACATACTTGTTGTCTCCCAACCCCAGCCCTACCCCTTCCTTCCCGTTGCAAGTGTGGCCAGGGACCTGGGTATAATGTCCGCATGCCCAGCAAGAGCCTTGCCTCCCCTGCCTTCCCCTCTCTCCCCTGTCCACTGACATGACCAGTCCCCAGTTGCTGTCCTGTTGATGAATCATTCCAATTTACTGGATTTAAAACAAAAATAAGGTTGTTATGGTTTCATGGGGTGGCCCCTCTCTCTCTCACCCTTTGGGTTTCGGGGTGGGGTATTCTCTCCGTTTGCTTCATTTGGCACTGGTTGCTGTGCTCTTGGCATCTGAGTCCTTTCCTTGTCCCCACAAGCCCCTCTTCTAGTCCTTGTTTTCCTTTCCTTCACCACCCTCTCCCTGTTCTACATGGAAATTGCACGGGCCTCTCTGTGTGTGCGTGCATGTGTGCGCCTGTATATACATGTATAGAGAGATATATATGTGGGGGCCGGGGGAAGGGGGGAGGGGGTGGAGTACAGCTCAGGGCTTGTAGCCAGGACACTGCCCACTGGGGCCTATCATCTGCCTCTTCCATGTTAGTGAGATGAAGGGAAGAAGGTGGGAGGGAAGGAATTGGTCAAACTGGACTGCCCCAGTCTTGGACTGGTTTTCCTCCTCTCTGCAAGTAGGTTATACTGGATGGTAGGACAGGTGATGGATTCTCCACCACCATCTTCCTTGTACCCCTCTTTCTACCTTTTGTAGGGCTGGGGGTGGCATTTATCTCTAAGATGGCTGTTCCCAAGGAGATGCCATTCTGCTATGCCTTGTTATTGGGAAGACGAGAAGAACCCACTCACTCTTATCAGCCCAGAGTGTTCAACTGATCCACCCCCACCATCCTTAGATCTGTTCCTTAGGAGCTTGAGGAGGAGGTGGGGATAGCAAGACCGTGGTGTGTGTGTGGTTACCAGGGCATGGGGAAAGGGAGGAGGAAGCCTTAGGTTTTCCATCTTCATTCTCTTCTGTTACTAGAAGAAGTGAGGCACGGAGTAGTCCCATTCCTGCCTTCCCCATAATCTTATCTTGGGGTCTGGGTAGTTCATTTATCCTTTGTCAGAAGTTTTCTCACCCTAGTAGTCCTGCTGGCCTGACCAGGGCTGACTGGGTGGTCTAATGAGGAACTAGGGAGTGGGATGACACAGCAGACCTCAATACCAACCCCCTATCCAACTCTCTCTCATTTTCTAGTCCAGGATGTGCTAAAGGATGAAGATTTTCTATTGTTTCCAGGCCCTCAGACCATCCTTGCTGTCTCTTCCTCACCCATTTGCCATAAATGGATCTAGGGGTTGGAGTGGAGGAAACAGAACCCTGAAATGGTCATCGTCGGTGCTTGTGGGATGCAGTGGTCTTCAGGGTCCTCCTCCCATTATTATGTAGTTGTTCAGAAGCTGCTGCTACTTTGTCTCTCTGTCTACAGGGGGCGCTTGTCCCTGAGGTCCTGGCTGGGTCCTGACTTCTGCAATTTCTGTGAAGCTGTGGCTGTTCTGTGGGCTCCTGTGTGTGCTGGCTGTGCCCTGAGCTCCAAGATAGCTGCCCATGCCTTTCCACTAAGGTCAGGGCTCAGGGCCCCCCACAGCATTGCTGAAGGACCCCTTCCCAGTAGGGCTGTCCCAAGCCCTACTCCACGGGGCCGGGCTTCCTGTCCCCTTTGTCTACAGCAGACAGATCAATACCCCTCACCCCATCCCAGACTGAACTGTGAAAGAGAGGTTCCAGGGGTATCTCCCTCAGTGCCAGTTACTTAGTGATGTGTTACCCAAGATGCTGTGGGTGTGTGTTGCTCTCTAGGCCTTTGTGTGTGTGTGTGTGTGTGTGTGTGTATGTGTGTTTGGTGTGTGTGGGAGGGGTGGGGGGACTTGGAATTTCTGTTTCATTTAAAAATGTATTTATTCCCCTAACCCCACAGATGCTTTCCTCCACACTTTTTCTTTTCTCTGTTTCCTCAGATTTTTTTGTCCTGCCCTATTGCCTTTCCCTCCCTGAACTCTTCTTTGCCTTCTCAATTCTTTCACTGCTGTTGCTTGTTTGTCTTTTCCTTGTTTTTTTCCTACTTAAGATTCCCCACTCTGTATCTTTGTGGTTGGTGAGGACTTTGCCTCACTCCCTCTCTGACCCTCCCTAGTTAGATGCCAATCCCAAATAGGTTTTCCTCATTTCAGCCCTCACCCCCCACCTTGTTTTTTGGAACTCCAGGGATCAATCTGGGGTTGAGGGTGTAAGGAAGCAGCCTTGGGGGTTGCCTTGGTGCTGCTCCAGACCTGGCCACCAGGGGGCAGTAAGTGATCTCGGTAGTATCCCTGGCTGCTAAGCCCTTGGCAGGGGTGGTCCTTTCTACATTCCCATTCACTTAACAGCTCTTTTGGGATTGGGTGTTTCATTCCATTTCTGCCCACTCCCTCGCCTGCTCTCCTCTGGTAGGTTTAATTTTATGCTTTCCCTGGTTCCAGCTTTCTTCTTCCTGGGGACTCCCCCTCCCTGCTACCCCCAAAGTTTGTTTGTGGTGTTATAGTGGTAACTGCAGTTCTGAACTGGTTTTTCTCTTCTTTTTTCCTCCTCTGGAATGTAGACTGTATATGTTTAATAACTCACCTTCTCTATCCTTGCTCAAATGTGGGATAACACGATGACTGTGACCCTGGTTGGAAATTAAACTTGTTTTATGCAGCTTTGGAGCAGACCTTCATCCTTGATGTGCAGGAGCCATGGGACAGTGGTTTAATGGTGAGGGTAGTTCTGTTACTGGTCCCTCTTTGCAGACTGCCCCTTCTCTCTGCAGAGCAGTAAACAGCACACTTGATTGGTGGAGAATGAGGTTACAGAATAACTTAGGCCCATCTCCATGATGCTTATTTCTTCCCATCATACCCTGGCGGGGGGGACCCAAATGAATTGAGTATCAGAGTGTGAAGGCTTTGTCTTTGCTTCTCTAGTTCTGAAGGGTTCAGCCCTGAACTTAGCCATATTTATCACCTATTGGTAGACTTTAGGGACTTCAGTGTCTGGAGGGCCCTGAACTTACAATGCCCCACACTGTTCCACTCTCAAATCTCCCTAGCCCTGCATATCAGGTGCTTCGAACTAGTTCGAACAGGGTCCCTTCATCTATAGATTGGAGTCTCCTCACCAATCTAGTTTTAGACTTTAGCAGTGGGTAAGCATGAAGGGTCAATGTCTGGGCAGTATAATGAACTTTATCCTCCTTACAACTGATGGCCCTGCATCAACGCTACTTCATGTATATGGTTTCCCATTGTCAGGATGCCAATCCTCATCCAGAGATTCCACAAATGTCTTGGGGAATAGACCTTTTCCATAAAGCCTGTCCTCCCATCCCACTCCCACCACTATGGTGTTCCTTTCTCCTATTGTCTAGCTCCAGGCAAAGAAGGGGATGATGCTACTCTTGAGGTGGGTGAGTTTGGGTGAGCCAGGGAGGACTTCCTCAGTCTTACCACTTTCTTAAGCTTTGAGGACAGAGGTCTTCCCAACCTGCTGTTGTGGGAAAGGGACAGGATTTAGGCATGTAATAAGTTTGAGAGCCCCAAATATCAATGTGAAGTATATAATTTGTATTCTGTTATCTCTCTGCTGCCTCCCCTGCCAATTTTCCTTTTCATCTTGTCTCCTGTTATTAATAAGCCATCACCCTCAAGGACCAGTGCTTCTGCCCCTGTGTGTAACCCTCAAACTATTCCAGATATCCTTTTATCAGCCCCATAACTTCAAACATTACCCACTTATCCCTCAAAATCAGATGTCACTTTCCTCATTCTAGGCTCCTCCAAAGTTCTGCTTGGTGACAGGTTGCGGATAAGTTAAGAGCACCTTATGGGCCGGGTGTGGTGGCTCACACCTGTAATCCTAGCACTCTGGGAGGCCGAGGCAAGTGGATCGTTTGAGCTCAGGAGTTCGAGACCAGCCTGAGCAAGAGTGAGACCCCATCTCTACTAAAAATAGAAATAAATTAGCTGGACAACTAAAAATGTGTAGAAAAAATTAGCCGGGCATGGTGGCATGTACCTGTAGTCCCAGCTATTCGGGAGGCTGAGGCAGAAGGATTGCTTGAGCCAGGAGTTTGAGGTTGCTGTGAACTAGGCTGATGCCACAGCACTATAGCCGGGGCAACACAGTGAGACTCTGTCTCAAAAAAAAAAAAAGCACCTTTCCCAAGTGCTTTATTTGTATAAATGATAATGGAGAGAACTTTAGCTGAATGGCAGGCCAGTGGGAGTCTTTGGACCCCTGAACAACTTGCGGGGAGGATAACCTATTCCTTTCTGTCTCTTAGTACTCAGTTTAGGATGCCAGGAAGGAGGTAGAGGGGAGCCCTCTTGTGGCAGTTGTTTAAACCTTTCAGCTTCTTTTGGGGGGTCATGGGATGAGGAGGAAACTCAACCTGGGAGGTAAATGCTCAGCACCTAGCTCCTACACCAAACAGCAGCCTCATCTTCCAGAATACAAGTAGCTCATCATTCATGGGTTGGTGGAGGACCCAGGACCCAGGATCCACTTCAGGATAATCTGGGCAAAGAAGCTTCCAAAGTGAGCCTGAAGAAAGCCAGTGGAAGGGCTTGGCAGTGTCCCCTTCATTCCAGAGTATAGGGGCAGTGACAGAGAATGAATGTGAGTATATATGAGTTTCTCAGACTTGAAGGCTCTGGGGATTCACTGCATGCACCACTTCCAGTTCAAGTGCCTAGATTGGTTGGAACAGAAAGTTGACAAGTATTTATTTAATACATTCTATGTTTTTAGGCCTGTGCTAAAAATGTCTCAAACCACTCTACTCAGGGACCTGGGGATCCAATTCTGGGATGCTCTGGAATCCTTTGGGATATCTTTAGCACACCACTTTGGGTAGTGAGAGTTGGGGAATAACATGTAGGGGGGTACCCCTTCCTTTGCTGCTGCTTAGTGTAGGGAGTGGTGTCTTTGGGCATGCAGTCATAATACTAAGAGCAGCTTTTCCAGTTCTGAAGGAGGTAGGAGAGCCAAAGACTAGTTCTCTCACTTTCTAACCTGGTGGCTGCTGCAGTATGCTGTTCACTGGGGAATGATAGGATCCAAATGCCTTCCTTCCTGTGCAGGCTTTTCTTTCTAATTGGGTTTCCTGACCCTGGTTGCTGGTACAGTTAAGAATGACCCTGAGTTCCTGAGAAAAGGGAAGAGGGTTAGAACAGAGGA